ATTTTTAGCATTAAACTGGTAATTTCCTGCATTCGGGAGACATTTTCTGCTCCAATTTAAGGTGGAAATGTCTGTTTTTATATGAGGGAAGATTATATTGCATTGCATGTTTTCTTATTGTGCAAATAAACCTTTCTCAAAGCATTTTCATTTGTTAGTTAACATTTCTTGGTGCTTTTTTTCAGAAGATTGTTAACAAATGCTCTCAAAAAGTGATGGGGACAAAATCAGCCGGGTGGGGAGATGTCTCCAGCATGTCGCCACCACTTTTGCAAGGCATTGTATGCATGCTACATTCTCATTAGGGGCTGAGCACCCCTAAAGGTCTGATCCTAGAATCGCCCCTTCTTGGGCAAGATACTGAGCCCCCGATGGCTCATCAGTGTATGAATCTGTGTGAGTGTTAGTTTCCGTTTTAGCACTTAGGCTCAGTGTATGAATGTGTGTGAATGGGTGAAGCGTAAAGCGTTTTGAGTGGTCGGAAGACTACAAAGGTCTTATAACACCTCTAACTCCTAACCTCTAACATGCACTTTCTGTGCTCTTCTTCTTCTATCCCCCACAATGATCTTGTATTGATTGCACTTTTTGTTTTGATTGCACTTTTGGTTAACTCTTACTTCCTTCCCTAGGTATCTACCCCATTGATGTGATATGTACTGTGAGCTCTTACTAGTATTTATTGCTGCTCTTACTAGTATGTATTGTCAGTTGTAGACCTGTAGTTGATGCTCTGTTGATGCTTGTATGTTGTTCCTCAAATGTAAGTCGCTTTGGATAAAAGCGTCTGCCAAATGAGTAAATGTAAATGTAAATGCTATACAAATACAGACCATTTACCATTTAGGATGCACAATCTTTGAGGTAGACAAGTTCAAGCAGCGGCCGGGTTGACTGGAGGGAAAGCTGCTTGTGAGGACTCGCGTAGGTGAGGATGCTGGTGAGGAACATGAGGATTCCTTCCCCCCTCCTTTTCCAAATAAGAACCTCTCCTACGCATTATCTACTTCATTCCAGAGAGTAAAAGTGTGTTGGATTGTGGAGCTGAAGCCTGTTTCCCTTGTGTTGAGGGTGGATTGACAGATTTTAGGATATTTAAAGACTGCATCAGAAGAGACCTCCATTTCCTGTTTTGACTGTGTGTGTTGCACGTTACAATTAAAGACTTGATAGGTCTAAGTATTTGCTTGTCTTGTGTGGGTTTTGAGTTGTTTTAAGTTTTGCACGTTTAGTTATTTTCTTTTTGTATTTTACATGTTTATTTGCTTTTATATTTGGTTGTTGTGTTTATTCTGATATTAAGACAAGCTTAGCCAAGTTAGCCAAAGGACTGATCCAAGCACTGTGAAGCGTACAATTTATGGTTACCAGCCAGCTCGTTCCCTAGAATGATGTGCACTCCTTCAATTGGTAGTGCCGGCCTTATGCCCATGGCAACCTCACCTTGGACCAAACCACAGTTAAGGGTCTAGGCAGCACGATAAAACCCATTCCCCGTGTCAACACGTGCTCTCCCGAGAAAATGGCAACACAGAGCTCACAATATGTGAATGAAAAGCCCCAGTATCTCTCACTCTCATCTCTTACAGTATCACTCCCCATCACCTCCAAGCTACACTTCTCTCCAGCACCAACTCACAAGCCATAAACACTGCAGCCTTGACGGTCACATAAACTTTACTTTCAGCCACAATGAGAGCAGAGTAGGCCTTCTGTGCCTTACCTGTCAACACACATTGCAAGAGTAATGTGCAGTCAGAGTCTGACCACTGTCTACTCTCTGCTACCCGCTCAATAAGTGAGAAAAAGCTGTTGTTGCTCTAAAAATCACCAGAAATGTTTGAGACCTAATCTTTGAGACAATGTGGAGACAAACATTCACACATTAAGTAGATTCGTACTTACCAAGCAGCCGCGGTAAAGATGATTTCTCCATTTTAACTCTTGGTCATCTGAGATCAACACATTAATGTTCAGTCACACCAAGTAAAACCCTCCTCCTTCCTCTTTGTGTGTCACTCGTACTCTTGTGGTTTTCTCTCACAAAGTTAACAGGAAATATACTTCATGTTAAGTCTCAGTGGAAAACTGACCAGGTTGTGCAGAGCCACAGTGGTGACACTTACTGAGAGACAAATCACATCTTTTGCCAATTTAGTTTTTTATAGACAGCATGTATTAACTTTGTATTTGTATATAATTTACCAAACAAATATACATCTATAAAAATACCCCCCCCCCCCCCCCCCCTACTGCTGAAGTCTGAGATCCTGAGTTCAACATCATCTACAAGTCAAACTAGAACATGAGGAGTTCCACAGGAAGTGTTGCGGGTCCTCTGCTGTTTGTGATCTATGAAGGAAATGTGAGGTTTATTTGCCCATAGTCATCACCCGAACCTTCCTCAGCCTGAGTGGGCAGGGTCATTGTTATAGAGGCGGGCAGGTCATTTTCTGCAGTCAGAGCAGAGATCCAGCTGGATGGAGACTCTCCATGACCGCTGATGTCACACTTATAGAGTCCTTCATCAGACTTGTTAACATGGTGGATGGTCATGTCACCAAATCATCATCAAACCAAATACAACCTTAAACGGTGTTGCAAATTCACCCGGTGCTGTATCTAGTTTATATTAAAGCAGTGCAGGTGGTGACTGAGTGTGGAAGTGCCCCTGAAGCTTTGTGGAAACAGAAAGCACAGTGACATCTGGTGGCTCGTAGAAGTTATTGCAACTCAAATTTAGGATGAAAACACATCAGTCATTTTATTGGCCAGGTGTATGTACACATACTTTGTCACACCGGACTCACAGTGTTAATAGATTATATTCATCAAATGCCAAAATTAAGTGAGTGAACAGAAGAAAAATCAAAATCAAATCTCTTTAATTCTTTTTATAATTTCTGTTGCATAATCAAGTGTAAAGATTTACAAATTAAAGTGCTCCTCTAAACCAACACATTCTCATCTGAATGCATCATAACTGACAGACAGCTTTCAGACAGCGTGACAAAGCGTAAGGATTTTACGCTAAAGGCACCCTTCAGCGTCCCAATGTAACGCCCCTGTTTGCTACGTTGCAGCAACACAAGGGAGGCTAATTTGGCCTCCCTTGTGTTGCGGGAGGCTAGTTTGGGTCCGCATTTCTACAAACAGAGTTGGGGATTTGGTCAAAATGAATGGTCTCCTCAATGATGACAAGTGAAGGCAGATACTTATTCATCATGCAGTTCCATCAGGGAGTCACCTGATTTATCTTCCATGGATAACTTTCGGTTTACAAATCAGAATAAAAATTCAGATTATGACTGCTCACATAATTGTGGAAAAAGACCAATTATTGTGTGATAATACACTGCTCAAAAAACTAAAGGGAACACTTAAACAACACAATGTAACTCCAAGTCAATCACACTCCTGTGAAATCAAACTTATTAACTGAACACTTAAGGAAACAACACTGATTGACAATCAATTTCACATGCTGTTGTGCAAATGGAATAGACAACAGGTGGAAATTATAAAGGCTCCTTGGCTTTTCAGAGTGATATAGGCAGTAAAAACATTTAGTATGACACTAGTAGAAACACTAGTATGCTAATGAAGCCTGAATAAAAACATTATTTAACAAAAGTAGTTAGGGACCCCTGGTTTAAGTTACTATCAGCAGGTTGAAGGCAGGAATCTAGCTTGATGCATATTTGCATAGTAGGCTAGAACAAACATTGATATCAGCATCATAAATTGAACTTTTGAAAGTTTTAATTATTTAGCCTTTAGGCCTACATGCCTTTGAACCACTAACTTACACTGTGGACGTGGACACAAAGATATATTAAATGTACTGAAATTATACAAATGTCATTGTAAAGGCTATCATTTATTTGAAAGCTGATTTTATTGTCTTCTTGTTTCTGCAAATGAGATATATGTCTTGTTCAGTTTTTTTATTATGCAGTATAGTAAGCATTTTCTCAATGTAGGGCTATGACAACTAAGATGGTATTATTTTAGCGTTGTCTTATACATTGGGAAAGATGAATGCTTTAATAAACATGAGGGAAATTAGTTATGAGTTAAGCTATACCTAACCCCATTTAAGCATGATACTCATAGCAAACCTGGTTTAACCATAATAAAGTAATTGTAGGATACAGTGTGTTGAGAAAAGAGGGTTGAAATGTGGTGAGATTTCAAACTCTGCAGACTCATGAGAGACAGGGACCAAGAGGGGAGGGGGGGGCCCACAGAGACTGCTTGGATAGAGCCCAGAATTTTGTGCTATGCCCCTGGGTTTATTAAAAACTTTTAAAGTAGTAATTGAAAAAATTAACCAAACAAACAAATGAAGAATAAAAAAACTCAAATCACAACCTGACCAACTATCAGCTTTCATTTGGATCAAAAACAGGTTGACAGTTTTGTCCACTTGTCCAGGGGTCTGTATTATGTATCACGTTCAAGATTAGAAGAGTTTAAAGTGAGACTGTTGCTTCTGCTGAAGTCTGAGATCCTGAGTTCAACATCATCTACAAGTCAAACTAGAACATGAGGAGTTCCACAGGGAAGTGTTGTGGGTCCTCTGCTGTTTGTGATCTATGAAGGAAATCTGAGGTTTATTTGCTGATGACTCAAACATTTTAGCTTCATTAAGAACCAGAACACACTGAACACACTGGATCAGCTCAGAAGTGATGCTCTGTGGTGACAGCAGAGTTTATGACATCATCATAGTCATCATCCAATCCCTCCTCAGGCTGGGTAGACGGGGTCATCACCATAGAGACTGGCAGGTCATTTACTGCAGTCAGAACAGGTTAGAAAGAAAATGTACTTAATTTATCTTCATCTAAGATATTTTAGGGCGGGGTTGTCGGAGTGGGCGGGGCTGTGGTTATAGATTTACCTGTAGAGAGAATCCCACCTGGTCAGATAAATCTCTGGATGAAATAAATCCTGAAATCAAAGGTAACCTCCTCACCTGTGACAGAGATCCAGCTGGATGGAGACTCTCCACGACCTCTGATGTCACACTTGTAGAGGCCTTCATCAGACTTGTTAACATGGTGGATGGTCATGTGACCTGTAGGCTCAGTCCTGATGAGGGAGCCATCTTTATAGAAACCAGCTGGGAGGTTGGAGGGAGGGGTCTCTGTTTTACAGTGCAGAGTGACATCATGTCCCTCCATCACAGGGAGGACAGGACTCTGCAGGATCACTGGTCCACCTCAACACAGAGACAAACTACAGCATTTCATCATTTACACACAGCTTCATCACACTAACTCCACAGTCTGATCTTACCAGTGACAGTGATGCTGATGGTGTTACTGGTTGCTCCCTCTCTGGACTCACACCAGTAAACTCCACTGTCCAATGGGTTTATGTAGCTGATGTAACAGGAAGAACCAGCTGATCTTCCCCAGTCAGCTCCACACTGAGTCCTGGTTCCTCTGGTTGTGTTCCTCCTCAGCGTCCATCCAGCAGAGCTGTCGTCCTCCTCACAGCTCAGAGAGACAGACTGATCTTTAAACAGCTGAGAACTGCTGGGACTCACAGTCAGAGAGGCTGGAGGAAGTTTTTTGAATTATTTTCTCCACATGGCTCATATTCCTACTTTTAGACTGCACAGCTTTGGCTGAGACAGAAGAAGTTTTCTCATCTTGGTTTGTTGTGCAGCTCAGCAGTGAGGTCAGAACTAAAGAGAAAACAGACTCAGGCTGGTTTGAGGTTTTACATGAAACAGCATCTGGACTTCAAAATCAAACAACAGCTACACATTTATATTAAATTGTGAAATAACAATCTATTTTTCTTGGGACATATACAATTTTTTTGTTTAATTTCCATAAACAGAGCATATCAAAGTGTGTGTCTCAAAGTGTCCTTTAGATGATTCTGAACCCCCGATGGCCCAACAGTGTATGAATGTGTGTGAATGGGTGAATGTGACGTAGTGTAAAGCACTTTGAGTGGTCGGAAGACTACAAAGGAGCTACACAAATAAATACACAAATACAGAGCATTTACCATTTTTTATGTGTATACATGTATACACCTGATATTATATATATATATATATACACACACACACACACACACACACACACACATATACATACATGTGTATATATATATATATAAATAAATGTATGTATTTATATTTTCTTATATATATACTTTTACCTTTTTTTAAAGATGATTCTGAGAGACGCACAAGAATTCCAATGTACCTGTACTGCAACGTAACTGTGCAAATGGCAATAAACTTTATTCTATTCTATTCTATTTAGGATGCGCAACCTTCAAGGTTGACAGGTAGACAGGTTCAAGCAGTGGCCGGGGTTGAATGGAGGGAAAAGGGCGGACTGAGGACTCGCGTAGGCGAGGATGCCGACAAGGAACATGAGGACTCGTTCCCCCCTTCTTTCCAGATAAGAACCTCTCATAAACACTATCTACTTCATTCCAGAGAGTAATAGTGTGCTGAGTATGGATGTTGTTAGGCATATTTTAGGGGGGCTGAAGCTGCACTGACATGGTCCTAAGCCCCCACGAATAATAATAAGACAAATAACAATTGTTAGATTTAGATTTTTTTTACAGTGCAAACATGTACTCAACAAATAAGCAGGTGTATTGATAAATACCATAGAAAAATACAAATTTGATTTGTATTTATGGCTTCACAATTTAAATCCCTTCTGGTGTTGGGCACTAGGACCCCGAGGGAGGCTGCTTTTCATCACACACACACACACAAACACACACACACACACACACACACACACACACACACACACACACACACACACACACACACACACAGCAACACACAGAGATAGAGATTTGTTGGCAGGTCTAGGCACCAAGGAAAAGCCTAAACTAAATTACTTCATGATAATTACTATGTTTGCTTTATTTTGACCAACTTCCTGCATTTAGTTGTTGTAATAAATTACAGAAATATGTTGATGTTGCCTAAATTGCTGGGTTATACATGAGCATCTACCCAAAGATGTCCACACATAGTATATAATAAAGTAAAAACAATCATACATACATGCATCCATACACATAGTAATAATTACCTCAAATATTTCAGTCCTTCCATCAGGTAATTAAATTCAGACAGCAGCCACTTTAAATAGGATCCTTATCAACAGCTTACGTATGTATGTTTGTATTCAAGCCAAACTACTAAACTACAAAATCACACTCTGATTAAACCAATCTACAGGAACAGTAATTAGTGTAATTAATCTCTAAAGATAGGAATATATATGGTATTACATTATCACACATTTACATGAGCAGCTGGATAGCATTTAAGTCACAGCCCACAGAAGAAATCAGTCTGGCCTAAGTGAAGCCTGTTTCCCTTGTGTGTAGGGTGGATTGACAGATTTTAGGTTATAGACCGCCTCAGGAAGAGACCTCCATTTCCTGTGTTGCCTGTGTGTTGCACGTTACAATTAAAGACTTAATACTTACTGGTCTAAGTATTTGCTTGTCTTGCGTGGGTTTTGAGTTGTTTTTAGTTTTGCACCTTTATTTATTATTAAATTTGCTTTTATATTTGGTTGTTGCATTTATTCTTATATTAAGACAAGTTTAGCTGAGTTAGCCAAAGGACTGATACAAGCACTGTGAAGCGTACACTGCTGTCACCACTCTATCATTTAGGTTTGCTGTTTCTCACCATCAGGCAGCCAGAAGGAGGACTGAGAGCTTGTAGGAGCTCAGCAGGTGGAACAAAGCGTACTGGAGGACACATTGAGCAGCTTTGGCCCTGGAGCTGCACTGAGTATTTGCCACTGTCCATTTTATAAACACTTAAGGTGCCAATAAATGGATAAACCCTAATTTAAAGAGGTGGTATTATAAAATAAATCTTAATCAGGGGTTGTACCAGTACAGGTTTATGTGGTTTAATTTTCAAAAAAACACCATATTTTTCTCATACTTTTCTCTGTTGCACATGCGCAGTTCTCAGGTAAGGACTACTAGCCAATCAGAAGCAGAGAAGGGCGGGTCGTAAGAAATAAGCTGTGTTTTGCTCTGCCGTTGTTGCTGCAGGGGTCTGTGTGACGGCGGGAGCAGAGGGCTCTGTGATCGGGCGGCTGGCCGGCCTCACATGCTCCTCCCGCAGGTTGGCACAGGCTTCCCCCGCAGACACTCGCGGAGCTCCTCAACTCCGAAAATATTCAAGCACATTTTTGTTCCACCATCACTTCTCGTAAAACCGTCAATATTCGGAATCTACACAGCTGATTTCTCACCTCAAAACTTCTCAGAAGTGGATTTAGTGATGAAATTTCATACAAAAACTGTAAAATATAAAACCTTCTGTTGCTGGCCTCTGTCTGGTGCAGCAATGATGATGCAGTGAATAGTGACGATGTTTTTACGTTATATTTTAGTATCCCTCAGCTCGCTTGGAACCTCGACGGAGGTGAGGTGATATGATACAATGGAAACCCAAACAAAGGTGAGTGGAGCCAAAGGGCCTCCGCTCAGACTAGCTTGGTTTGAGGGCGTGTCTGACCCCGCTAGCCGCTTGGCAAGCTTTATGACGCGTTTTCATTGTGACATCACAAGTAAAGGAAGTGAAGGGCTGGACTACAAACGAGCTGTTTTCAAGCGGTTCAGAGCAGAGCTTTCTGTGGGAGATGGGAACTCCCTTGGGCTGGACTTTGGGCTTTTTCACTATGCAAACCTGTTACATGCACAAAAAAAAGTATAAAACTCAATAAAAGAGAGGGAAAAGCCAAAAAGAGGAATACCACCTCTTTAACTTGATTGTTTTTGTGTCTTTGAACTTTGTTGAATTATTAATAATTGTGTTTTGAATAGTCATCCTCTGGTCTGAGACTCATGTGTGTGTTTTTCTCTTCTGTAGCACTTAAGGATAGTAAATACCTTTCTGTATAAAACTTTTCTACATGCTTTCATCCTCTTTCTTCTATTCTATTATATACTGTAAGAATAACTATGCACTGTTAACAATCGCAATGAACACTTGCTGCAATGTTTGTATTATTCTTTGCTGCCATATTATCAAACAACACTGAAATTCCTGCTCTTTGTCTGATTTCTTTCTTTGCGTTAATTTTGTTCACTCTGTAACTCACTGCTGCTTTTAAAATCCCCAGAAATGTTTGAGACCTAATCTTTGAGACAACGTGGAGACAAACATTCACACATTAATCAGAATCAGAATCAGAATCAGTTTTATTGCCAGGTATGTGTACACATCCGAGGAATTTGACTCAGGATTGAACATTGCTCACGATGTGCTTACTCATACAATAATAAAATAATAATATAAAATATATTATATGTATAAAATCAGACACAAACTACAGAATAGACAACACTAATATACACACTATGAACAAAACAATATAGACTTACTTACCTAGCAGCCACGGTAAAGAAAATTCCTCCATTTTAACTCTCGGACATCTGAGATCAACACATTACGTTCACCAGTCAAACCAAGTAAAACCCTCCTCCTTCCTCTTTGTGTGTCACTCGTTCTCTTGTGGTTTTCTCTCACAAAGTTAACAGGAAATTAACTTTATGTTGAATTTCAAATTGAAAAACTGACCAGGTTGTGCAAAGCCACAGTGGTGACACTTACTGAGAAACAAATCACATCTTTTGCCAATTTAGTCTTTTATATTAACTTGGTATTTGTATATAATTTAACAAACGCACATACCTATATGAAAAAATTAGCATATGGTCATGTGGCAATAATTAAAGGACAACTGAAAAATAGAGACCTTTCGTTTGGTCTTATTGACACCTTATGTTAACTTACCACTCAGTCAAAGCACCAGCTGTGCTCCATGTTTTTACACTGCACCTTCATCATCATCATCATCATCATCATTGTCATCATTCAACCTCAAACCTGATTTCTGGCTTGACTGCAGGCTGCAGCTCTCAGGGCCTTTTGATATATTTACTTTTACTCACAGGACACCTGATCCACCTTTTCTTAATGTATTTCTTGAAATGGAGAAAAAAGGAATTTGCAACAAAACAAACAAATGTTATTTGAATTAGTTTTTTGATTCAGACAACATCCAACAGAAATATGGCATTGTTTTTGTTTTTATCACTTTTATGTTCAAACTAAATTATTAAATAGAGACATTTGGTTTGTTCTTATAGACACCTTATGTTAACTTACCACTCAGTCATAGTGCCAGCTGTGCTCCATGTTTTTACACTGCACCTTCATCACTTCATCATCGTCATCGTCATCGTCATTGGCATCATTCAACCTCAAACCTGATTTCTGGCATGGCTGCAGAACATTGACTTAGAAGCCAAATGTTGTCAAGACCGGCAGGGCGGTAGAAAGTCCAAAAAAGTACTTTCATTAAAAAACAACAACAAAAACAGGCTCTCTGGGCCTTTTATTTTGATACGTTTTCTTGCTTTTATGAATGTTTTTCTTGAAATGGAGAAATGAAAAAAATGAATTAGTTTTTTTTGATTCAGACAACATACAACAGAAATATGGCATTTTTGTTTCTTCTTTTATATTTTCAAACAAAAATCAAACAAACAAAAAAAATGACTATCCAAACTTACACTTCTCTTCTCGAATGCTGACTGGAATCATGACCTGTATGCAACTGTATGAATGCCATCCACCGAAGTGGCTTGTAAGAGTGCCTGTTAACGCCACTGCTGAATTCAAGCCACATTTGGTGGGTGCTCATGTGAAGCTATGTTGCCATGTCCTTATTACATCTGCTGTGTTTCACCCTGTACAGATTAAAGTGCTGCAGTTACACATGTGGCTACAAGAGGGCTCTGTTGACAGAATTGTTAATTCTGGTCAGTAGTTGAATTGTAGTGTATTTTCAGAGATTATAACATAGATAACATGATTTTATTTCATGTATAAACAAAAATGTTTAGGTTTGTTTTAACAGGTCAACTTATGTACTTACTTGTAATTATTCAAGACTAATACTAATTAATTAATATATACACCACTCTCTGATTAGAGATCCTGTCCTTAAAGTAGCTGTGAAGCCAGCATCTCAGTGTTACCATCTCTACCACAAGCACCACTGACTTGAAGCTTACTTAGTGCATGTTGATGGGGAGACGGGGCTAAAATAAATCAGAAGTTTTGGTTCACAGTTAATGAGTGGGGCTCCTGTCTCCTAGAGTCAGATGGATATTAGCTCATCATTGTGTTCCCAATAGAGAGACATGTCCAGGATGTGGTCTAGCCTAGCTGACAGGTAGAGCCAACTGGGACTACCTGTCCTCCCAGGATGTTATCACTCCACCACAGCTGTAAATATAAACGTGCTTCACTGAAGTGTTGTAGCTAGTTACATTCTTTGCCTCTAAGTGTGCAGGTCTGACATTGTTGTAGATGCACATCTGTAGGTCGATGATGTTGGGGAACTATTTCTCACTCCATTTTTTTCTTCCTGCTGCAACAATACAGCATCTCCACAGAGATAAATTTAGGATTCAGCAAAGTCTGTGTTGTGATGGAAGCCTTACAAACAAACAGAAATAACTTTCTCTGCTGAATGAAAACGTTGAGGAAGAGCTTTTGTACCAGAATAATGAACAAGTGAAAAGATACAGTGCTTAGCAGTGTTGTAATACTCGAGACCAAGACCATTAGTCTCGTCTCGGACTTGACCGCATTTGTACTCGGTCTTGTCTCAAACATTGAGGACTCAGGATTTTATTTCAAGACCAGTCAAGACCATAACTTTAGGAATATCAATTAATTGCTTTTGCACTGTCTGATTTATTTGTTAACATCCTAACTTTGATTGGATGTAAAACATATTGCTTCAAATGCAACCAATAAACCTAATTAAAAATGCGTTGTTCCCGTTAACGACTGTCACCCCTCCCCGCGAAGGTAAGCAGCATGGAAAAGCAGTGTTAAATAAAGAATAGATAAAATAAGTTAATAAAAGTTGGTTTCAGCGCTTAGTGTTTGTATGTGGGTGTTTTAATGTGGATCTTTCAGATCAATCTGAGAAGTATCGTGTCGTGCCGTGCAATGTGTGGAACTTGATCTCGACTTGGTCTCAGCCCCTAAAAGTCTTGGTCTCGATAATCTCTGGTCTTGACTTGGTCTCGATTTAGGCGGTCTTGACTACAACACTAGTGCATTTAAAACACTTATTTTACATGTACCGCTGTAACAGTACTCAGACATGAAGTGACACTTGTATGCTTTATTGTCGGTGTTGGGGATTAACTAGTTACATGTAATTTAGTAACAAAATAAATGTAACTGTCAACAGAAATTCAACCTTAGATGTTGTTTGTGCAGTTACATTTATTGTGGCAGCAACCTCTAGTGGCTGTACAATGGTAGAGCATGTGAGTCTTTCACATGTGCTACCATTGTACAGCCACTAGAGGTTCATGCATCATAAATAGCCTGAAAGTCCTATTGCGAAGTTGGTGAATTCAGAGGAGGGATTGGAATGTTGCAGGCCTTCACACAGGAGACAGGTGTTCAATTTCTTTGTGAAACAAGACCGATTTAAAAAAAAAAGTTACATAGGTTACATAAATTACGCATTAGCATTAGAAAGGTTTGATATGTTAGCTTCGTAGCATTAGCATTAACTAATAATAAAAATAATAGTCTTTATTTATAGAGCTCTTTTTAAAAAACAAGTTACAAAGTGCTCTCACAAGAGCAAAGAAAATAAAATACAGATAAAACAAATACACAATAAAGCAAAAAAAAAACACTTGACTAAAGTACATGTTAAAAGTAAATATAAAAAAATATATAAAACAGAATAA